GAGCAGTAATACCAACCGGAGAGGAGGTGAGAACATGCCAGTGACTTAATTTCTATATAATTCCTAGTTTGTGTGTGTATTTTTTCCTACTTTTTTTTTTTTAATATATATTTTCCCTGGGCATTTGGGGAGTTAGTAGTTGGGGGTTTTTTCATTCCTAACATTTTTAGGAGCCCCTTCCTAAAACGTGTTATAAAAATAACTTTCAGAGTCATTTTAAGAGAAGCCGTGTTTCTCATGAAGGAAGCCCTTTCTTTCACAAGAGCGGGCAAGATGAGCTATCCAAGGATTTGTTCGAGTCCACTTAGCCGTGCCTGCCCATATGGGTACATATTCCCGCCATACACTTTTGGCATTAATACTTTCTTATAGAAGGGCTGAAATGCAGACTCAGCAATGTCACGACTTACACGATACTGGTTCCTGAGCAGCTGAAGGACTGATGGGGTGGGTTGTTTTCTTTGAGTCCCATCTTTATCGCGCCAGCGCAGTATGTTACGAAGAACTGTGTATGTACCCTTTGTATGTGCCTTCTAGTGTGGCAGACTGCTTCCTTAATCCAGTAGAAGAAAGACTCTATAGCTAAAAGCATGGAATACTTGATAAGTAGCCATAATAAAACCAATTTTAGAAGTTTGTTTTTCTTGCTGTGACCCATAATAATTACACTCTTCCATTTTCTATAGTTAAAGTACCTCGTAATTTTCGCTTATTGGAAGAACTTGAAGAAGGTCAGAAAGGAGTAGGTGATGGTACAGTAAGCTGGGGCCTTGAAGATGATGAAGATATGACACTCACCAGATGGACAGGCATGATTATTGGGCCACCAAGGGTAAGTTAAAATATTTTTTTTTTTTTTTACGTTTGTAGGCTGTCCATACTGCAAAAAGATGAGATTGCTTTGCCCCAATGTAAAGAGATAAGTTAAAATTTAATGTATGAGGTTGCAGTAATATTACCTGTTCTTATTCTGTAACACTATGTTTATGTTAAAATTCATATCCTGGCACATTAGTGTTTTGGGTCTAGCCTGTCCTAGCCTATGTTTCTGTAAGTGTGCAAGCTAGTTGTGACTTGAGACTTACTACCTAGAGTGCTGGTTATCCTTGGTCTGCATTTCCATCATCAGCATGCATAATACCAGGCACTGACAATGCAGTCAACTGCACAACTCCCTCCAAGATTTTACTGTATGTCCCTGGTAAATTCAGTTTTCTAGCAGTGACAAAACTTCCACAAGTTTTTAGCCTGGAGAACAGAAGGCTGGGAGGGAATTGGATCAACGTGTTCAAGTACCTGAGGGGAGAGTGTAGGGAGGATGGGGCCAGGCTCTTCTCCATGGTGGTCGGTGACAGGACAAGGGGTAACGGGCACAAGCTGAACCCCAGGCAGCTCCATGTCCATGTGAGGAAGAACTTCTTTGGTGTGAGGGTGCCAGAGCCCTGGCACAGGCTGCCCAGAGAGGCTGTGGAGGCTCCTGCTCTGGAGATCTCCAACCCGCCTGGATGGACCCTGTGCCCCTGCTCTGGGTGTCCCCGCTGGAGCAGGGCTGGACTGGGGGATCCCTAGAGCTCCCTGCCAACCTACCTACTAGCTACCTTAGAATCAAAGTGTTTGAATAACTTTCTTTAAAAATTTATATTCTAACATATTTTGAGAAGAGCTTGCAGAGGTGATTTAGTTATAGTAGTATCTCTGTAACTCTCTGAACATCCTCTGGAAGGTTTATAGCTACTGTAAATATGTATAACTCTACAGAGTAGCTGTTAGCATTTGTGGAAAAGCATCTTAGGCACATACCTAAGGCACGTCAGAGAGCGGGTTAGAATTTCACTGCCTGGAATTGTAGATGGTCGTGGTACATCGTGATCTTGGTAATAAACTGCAGGAAAAATAAACTGCTTTCCCAGCATGTCCTGGCATTGAGGGAGGCACAGGCTTACTCTACCTTCTTTACACAGTGACAAAATGTTGGATCATAATTTGGATTGTTAACTCCCCCCAGAATAGTGACTGCTTACATTTTTAATAGCTATTTTTTTTT